TTCACCATGTTGACCAGGATGGTCTCGATCTCTTGACCTCGTGATCCACCTGCCTCGGCCTCCCAAAGTGCTGGGATTACAGGCTTGAGCCACCACGCCCGGCCCCGCATTTCTATTATTGAACATGTTTACTTCTTCTATGTTTTTTCTGGCCATTCTTGGCAGTTTTGTCTATTTTAATGGTATTTTTAAAGTATAAACTTTTAGTTTTATTTGGCGATTTTAGTGTTTCTTTTTTTCTAATTCACTAATTTCAACTACTATCTTCAATTATCCTCTGTCTACTTTCTCTTTATTTACTTTGCTGTTTTGTTCCAGTTTCTTAAGTTCAAGCCTTCATTTGCTTTCAAGTATTCACATGTATATATTAAAGCATTGGTAAGAATTTATTTACAACTGTTCATTAAAGAGATGTTGATGTCCTGAGCGGTAAGTGGTCATGATCCCTAGATGTGAAGAAGGGGAGGCTGAAGTTAATCAGTAAGTCTCTGACAAAGCATAGTCTTTCAAGCTACATGGCTGGGTACCCAAGAACTTACTGTTCTGCTCACAAGGCTGATTCTGGATGCACCAGGACCCTGCCCAGGTTTAAGCCCTGGAAAGATCAAATCAGAGATACGGGTTCAACTCCTCACGAGAGAGCCACCCATTCAGATATAATTTCAGCCAAGTCCAGGATTCTTCCATCTGCTGTCTGCAACACCATGAAGCCTGAATGGGCCCATTTTTCTCTATGGCTCCTCATCTTGTCCATGCTTCTCCACACGCCTTTGGGGAATATATTTCCTCCACAACTCAGACAAGAGTTATGTGAAAGTGGACATCTTGGAGGTAAAGAAAAAGAGAAAGGGTAGACCAGTGGGACACTGTGAAGGAGAGAGGGGTCTGGGCAGCCTGAGTGATGTTGCTGCCAGTAATTAGGAACAACTCCCCTTTTTATTTCAAACCATATGGCTCTAGGACTTCTGATACAGGGAATCACATCAAGTTTCCTCTACAGACTGGAGAAGGAGGAAGACAGAAAGTAGAATCAACTTAATTTTTAACCATGAGATTTCAGTATAAGAGGAGGGGTTATGAAAATGGGGTTTGATGTAAGAAGTGTCCAAGAAATTCCCTTGTTGGGGTGTGTGTCTGTGTATTAGATGGGTTTTAAGTCTATTCAACATATATGTGTAGAAGCACTATGTTATATTCCACTGATACAGATGTGCAGAGGCCATCATTCCCCCGTATATGTACAGAACACTCCCATCCTACTTATTTAAATTACTTTGTTCTTCACTAAAAGTAACATGAGCATCTATGAAACAAGGCGAAAGGAGCAAATTCCCAATCATGGATAAGAATTGTAGTTGGGTGACAGGGCACAGTGGCTCACACCAGTAATCCCAGCCCTTTGGGAGACCGAGGTGGGCGGATCACTTGAGGTCAGGAGTTGGAGAACAGCCTTGCCAACGTGACGAAACCCCATCTCTACTAAAAATACAAAAATTAGCCAGGCATGGTGGCATGTGCCTGTAGTCCCAGCTACTTAGGAGGTTGAACCCGGGCAGCAGACGTTGCAATGAGAACCAAGATCGAGCCACTACACTCCAGCTTGTGCAACAGAGTGAGACTCCTGTCTCAATTAAAAAAAAAAAAAAGAATTGTAGTTGGGCTTCGAGAAAACTAACATTAACTCTTTCTCTGTCTCCAACTCGGTCATCACGGCTTCTGCTCTAACCACTTATCTCCATGGTCTCAGTAAACCCAGGTGAGTCTGGTTGGGCAGGCAAAAGTGGGGCTGAATGGGAAACAGACTGATGGTGGAAAGGAAGATCTTCCAGAGTGGGTGTTTTAAGCCTATCCTTCAGAGTAGGTGTAGTGAGCGAGAGGTCTTTTTAGCTTGTGTATTTGCATAGACTCTGGCTGGCAGTAAGTGTCCTTGAGGTAGCGAATGAGTTGCACACTTCCAGTGACATGGAAGCATGTAGAGAGTCAGGAAATGGATATATTTCCTATGAAGAAGGAATACTATGAAGAAATACTGTGAATTCCTATGGAGGATGAAGGAAATCTCAGGTCTTTCTTGTTTTCAGCTCTAAAGTAGCATAACAATATCATTATCCTTCCCTGTTTATCTCGGTGTCATGGATCCAGGCTATAGTCTGGAATAATTTCCCCATATGCTCAGGGAACTCTGTCTTGTTCCCCAGGGGTAAAATTAGTTCAATTTACACAGGTTGAAAGTTTTAGTGGTCTGAGCCCATGAGAAAAAGAATGCTAAAAGGGTAGTAAAGAAAACCTGACTCTGGAATTTTCATTCACAGAATATTGCAACTATCCTCCGATGAAGGGCAACTGTAATTTATACTTGACCAGATTCTACTACAACACTTTGACATTTTTATGTGAGCCCTTTATCTTCAGTGGCTGTGGAGGCAACAGAAACAACTTTAAACAGAAATATATCTGTGAACAAATTTGTATTACTGAAAAGTAAGTCTCTGGATATCTTACCCAGCCCTCAATGATACCGAGCACTAGGGATCAAAGCTTTTTTAAGGAAAAAGCAAGTGAAAGGCTAGGGCAGTGGGCAGGGAGGCAAGAAATTATACCTAAGTTATGGATAGTCTGTCATAGGCATTATTTCTCAAGTCACTTAGATGTCACTATACTCAGTCATAGGCATAAGTTTCTCAGATCACTTGATTTAACAACGCTCTTGAAATTGTGAACATTCAAGTTCAGCCAAGCACAGTGGTGTGCAACTGTAGTCCCAGCTACTTGGGAAGCTGAAGCAGGAAGATCACTTGATCCCAGCATTCAAGACCAGCCTGGGCAATATGGCAAGACTTCCATTTAAAAAATAATAATAATAATAAATTAGTCCAGCATGGTGGCTCACACCTATAATCCCAGCATTTTGGGAGGCTGAGGCAGGTGGATCACAAGGTCAGGGGATCACGACCATCCTGGCTAACTTGGTGAAACTGCATCTCTACTAAAAAAGCAAAAAATTAGTGAAGCATGGTGGTGGGTGCCTGTAGTTCCAGCTACTCAGAAGGCTAAGGCAGGAGAATCACTTGAACCAGGGAAGCAGAGGTTGCAGTAAACCAAGATCATGCCACTTCACTCCAGCCTGGGCGACAGAGCGAGACTCCGTCTAAAATAAATAAATAAATAAAGCTCAGAGAGGCTACTGACTTGCCCAAATTCACTCAGAAGAAGGACGTGGATCCAGAGCTCCTAGCTCCCCATCGGTATCTCAGTACTACCATGATAGCATCAGCTCTTTGAGACTGTGTTTAATATCTTATTGTTTCACAGTTAAACAAAAAGCTATGAGAATGTCAGAAGAGTAGCAGAAGACAAGGATCATGGTTTGGTATCTATATAAAGAATAGCTAAACAGTGGTGTTACATGCAAGAGCAGAGATATCACTTTATCAATCTGTATATTCTCAAAGTTTAGCACTATGTTTGCTCATTATTATGGATAGGTGCATGGGTCAGGAGGAATATTAGTGTTAAAGAGAGCTGTGAAGTTCTGCTGAGATGTTAAGGACCCATTGATTGGGTCCTAATTGACACCAATGGCCATAATAATCACTAAATTTATTTATTTATTAACAGAGACAGAGGTCAAGGGCCTTAACACAACAGTAGGAGGAAACAAGGAAAAAGAAGTATGCTCTATGAAAAATCATACCAAAGTTATTCTGAGAAAATCAACTGGATCATTTCTGGAAGACTTTTGAATTCTGAATTCTTGCTAATTTCCTTGCCCAGGTTTACCCTTTCACACTAATTAGATA